CGAGGTGGGTGGATCAGGAGGTCAAGAGATTGAGACCACCCTGGACAACATGGTGAAACCCCATCTCTACTAAAAATACAAAAATTAGCTGGGCATGGTGGTGTGCGCCTGTTGTCCCAGCTACTCAGGAGGCTGAGGCAGGAGAATTGCTTGAACCCAGGAGGCGGAGGTTGCGGTGAGCCAAGATCCTGCCATTGCACTCCAGCCTGGGTAACAAGAGTGAAACTCCATCTCAAAAAAAAAAAAAAAAAAATTTCCTGGGGAGCCTATGGTAAAAATAGTCTCTATTAAAGTAAGTTTAATCCAGTGTTAATCTTTTAAGGCTTCCACTGAAATATACAAATGGTGTTTTGTATGATTAAGAATAAAAATAGAGTGCGTGTGTTTCAGAGTACCATTTCTCTCTGCTGAAACTTCAGAAACATACTTAATATGACATCTGCACTTTATTTTAAATCACATGTTTGAGACTATTTATTAATACAGTAATTCTGTTCATTTTAAATGCAAGGCAATACAGCGTTGGATTTGAGGTCGTAACAGTTTCTACTCTAGGAGATCCTGGACCCCATGGCTTTCTGAGGAAATCTAGTGGTGACTATAGGTAATGTTGACATTTTTATTCTAATTTATACTTTACTTTTTGTGGCATCATCTTCTATAAACCTTATTCTCATTCTCTCTAAATATAGGTGTGGGTTTTGCTACCTGGAATTAGAAAATATACCTTCTGGTGTCTTCAATATCATTCCCAGTACCTTTTTGCCTAAACAAGAAGGACCTTTTTTCTTGGACTTTAATAGTATTATCCCCATCAAGATAACACAACTTCAGTGATGGAGAAATCTCAGCAGTTACTGGCTTTTTTACTTAGCAAACATCAATTCTTCAAACAAGGACACAAATCTTCAGAACAGTAAACAGAACAATCAGAATGGAATTAAATCTCTAAAAACGTGTTTCAGTGGGATTTGGTGCTTGTTCAGAGTGGTAAGAACTGAATATAGTCAGAATGACCTAAATCACCTAGAGGTACTGTTTACATGGTTTTATGTATATAAAGTTGGCTTGCATTTTACAGGCCATTTTGTATTAAAAAATGCATATGAATAAGATTAGACTCAGTCATCGTTGTGAGATACCTTTGCTAAGAGGATAAAGGAACTGAGACCGGATGAGAAAAAGAAGGGATGTAGATTCCTTGAGTGGAATGATGGGCTAGATTAATAGACTGAAATATTTACATTGTTTCCCTTTTTTGCAGAGCATGTGGAAATTAAACCTGCTTGATTCTACTATACATCTTGGGCAACTAATTACCAAATGAATTGTGCTACAATAACTGATTTTAATTTTGCATTGTTTATTATTTTAAATGTGTGTTGCCCAGGTGTTATAAAAGAATAAAGCTCTTCAGAAGTACAGACTACCTTAGCATGAAGATGCTCATGCCTAAGAATGAAAATTGTTGAGGTTATCTCCCATTCAGTCATGTAGCGAGAACTTAGAGAAATTCACTACTGCAGTTTTTATTTTTAAAAAACAGTAGTTGAGATACTGAAAGACATTACAGTTTAGTTTGTATGGTCTTTTTTTAAATTGCTGTATAGTTCAGTGCTCTTGTGGCAATAGCACTTTGAAGAAAATAGAGAATATATGGTGATTGGGGTATGTAGCATTCAGAAAAAGTGAATTGCCAAGATACTCGTGTCATGTAAATTCCCACTTTATATAAAACCCATCAGGACAGAATGATGCTCAATATTTAAAAATTCTAAAAGTAGGGTGGGATTTTTCATTGTCTCTACTTTATAATTATCAAAACTTATTTTGTATTACTGCCATAAATTGAAATAAAATGTTTATACTTATGGATACTGCATAGTTTAACTTCGATTTATTCAAAGATTTCATCTATCGTATTTCATGTAAATGAGAACAGATTATTTGCATGAAAATATATACTTCAACAAAAATCTGTTATTTTTACAGAGTAGTGGTAGATGATTACACTGATGAGATTGTACTTTGGTAAGTATTTTGTGCTTTTAGTTTTAGCCTATTAATTTTAGGTGGAGTGATTTGACTAGTTTTCTGTTACTCTTTAAAAAGAAAAAATCCAGAACATAAGAACTGTATTATAAACACATGATTTGAACCTTTTGTGGTAAAGATCTTGTACAGGATGCAAACTGAAAACCTAATCCCTGCCATCAAATCTATTAGAAGAGACCTATATATGGACAACCTAACTGTGGTACTGATTTCTGTAATGGAGCTCTAACAACATGCTACCAGTGCACGAGTAAAGGAAAGATTAATTTTGGCTGGACCAATATAAAAAGTTTTATTGGCAAAATTGATACTTTACCTTGGACTTTGAAGGTAAGGCTTCAAAAGACAGACGACAGTTACTGAATGTATACTGTGTACCCAATGTGTATATTTTTATTGTAATCTTCCCAATAGCTGAATAAAATACAATTATTTGTACTACCTGTAAGATTTTGCCCCAGGTTCACAAGCTGTCTTTCCTGAGGCCTGATTTAGCTGCTCTGTGTGTCTAATGACACCCACAGACACGGCCCTCTAAATGGGGGAGGGACAAGATCCAGACCTGTTGTAGAGGGAGGAAAAACAATCCAGGCCCTTCTGAGGTTCTAAATAACAGTGAGACAGACTTGTCAGGAGTTGTTAGAGAGAGGATGACTCGGGTTTCTAATTCAGCACAGGGACAGATGCGCATAGCTTCAGTGAAGGTAAGTTTTGACACATTAAAAATGCCCAGAAAAATCCAGATCTGGACTCAACATGGTATAGTAAGCGAGATAACCCAAGAAGTCAGGAATCACATGTGAACTAAAGATGGCTAGAACTGATTTGGAGGAAGTTTTTTTAGAAAATATTCTGATTTTTAGAAAAAATATAAAGACTAACAGGAGATGCAAGAAACCAAGGGGTTGGGGGAGGATGAAGAAGCCCAGTGAACAGAACTCCCAGAAGAGTATAATTAAATGTCAGATGTGGTGGAGATAGAGGCCACAGTGATGGCAGTGGGGGCAGACGACGTTAAACTAGAAATTGAAAAGGTGATAGTATGAGAAGGGAGCCCTGGTCAAAAGGTGGTCTGCATCCCTTTCTGGTGTAGGAGACAAGCAAGTGGTAGACCGATGGGAAAGAGGGATTGAGGCAGGAAAGAAGATAAAAGTCCTAATGCCCAAATAAGGAATACTCCAGCGACACTGACTGGCTAGGCTTTGTGTTCTGTAAAGGCAAGGAAAAGCCCCAGTGTTAGAAAATTCCATCCCACTTTCATTTTCTGCAAGAAGTACTTAGAAATTTCTAGTTATTAGACTTTAACTTGACTCTGCTGTAAAAACTTTATCCTACTTTGGGCTGTTTTCCAGATGGTGTTTTTTCTAGGAGGAAAACTGATTGCCTCAATTGCAGGGAACAGCTTTTGCCAACAGTAAGTCAAGCAAGTCTCAGTGTCTGTACTACAGATAAGATAAAAGGGTGCAAGGAGATTTTATGAGAACCGAATGAACGCTGAAGGTCACTATTCAAATTCAGGTATGCTGTTTAGTGTTCTTGTTTGAGATCAAATTACTAGACTGGCCAATTTTTGTGTTTTTGGTAGATACTGGGTTTCACTGTGTTGCTCGGGCTGGTCTCGAACTCCCGGGCTCAAGTGATCCACTGGCCTCAGCCTTCCAAAGTACTGGGATTACAGGCTTCAGCCACCTCACCGGGCTGGCTGTTTAATGTTCTTAAATAGCACGAGGGGCTTCTATGAACTTTCCTAGATGAAATATTTACTAGATAAAACATCTGTTTGATACTGCAAAGGATTATTTCTGAAACTTAAACCCCGACTGGCCAATGAAGGACCTTTTTCTCCACAGCATGCTTTAATAATAAAATGCAGATTAAGAGTCCAGCATTATAACATTTCCACAAGACAAAGGATCCACCTGATTCTCAACTCTGAATGCACATTTGAAATCCCCTTGGTGAGCTTTTAAAAAAAGTCTGATGCACAAGTGTACCCCAGTTAAGCTTCCTAGGAGACTGCAGTGTGCAGCTGAGGCTGAGGACCACTCCTCCAGCGTCACCACGTCGTCTTTATTTTTCTGTCACTGTGTCTCCTCATTGCCCACAGCTTTAGCAGCAGCAGCAGTAGAACTCAAACCGTGGTAATCAAGGCTTAAATTATTACTATTCAAAACCTTGACTGAAAATGATTACCTGTGACCTCAGCACTCCATGCTCTTCCTTACGGCAAGAGGGTGGCATAGAAGATTTAGACAACACTGGGAGTTCTTATTTGAAGTCACAGAGGAAACTTTTCTCAAGCAGTTTTTATTACACTCAATGTATTAAGACAAGTACAAAATAACCTTGTAATTAGGATACTGTATCAGTCAAAAAAGGAGAAGTCACTGTTGTATGAAGAGATTTACAAATGACTAAAATATACAGGCTGTGACAGAATTAACAATTTGAAAGGGGTTTTTTTTTTTTTTTTAGAAATGCTAAATTTTCTTAACAAAACGAGACAAAAATACAGTGCTCTAAATATGCATTACCATGAAAACATTAAAGAAAAGCAGTCTTAACACTTACTACTATTAACATAACAGACTCCATTGCTTCTATTTAACAGCCTTTGCCAACACATGCCTACTCCCTTTCCTAGCTTTAAAGAAGAGTTTCCTCTAAGGAATACTAGTGCAGCATAACCCTTAAATAATTTCGTTTATTTTTAAAGTTACAACCTACAGAGAAATTAACACCTTGTCAATATAATAACAGTGGCAACCATTCTTCACATGCACTTCTCTTAGAATAAATCCCCTTAGCTGGCAGAATAAGGCTTATGCTGTAGAACCTTCTCCCCCACAGCCACAGATTCCCTTCTATGATAAGTCCCTCCTACCGTCATCCCCCCCATCCCCACTGGCATTCACCTTCCCCACCCCAAAAAGTGCAGTTCATGGTAGCCTTTCTAGAAATGGTTTTAATGGGTATCTTAGCATACACGCTTTTTAAAATGTCCCCTCTGAACACCAGAGGTGATGAAAATGAGTTGTGTTCTTGGATTTTTTTAAGCCTCCCCCGGGTCAAAAATATGTGCTCTCAATGCTGGAGTTTTGGCTTTGTGTGTGGGTTTTCCTTATCATTTAGATATCATGGGGTAGAAGTGGAGAGAGCGTCTCCATTTTCCCATACAAATTGAGGGTAAGAAGAGAAAGAGAAGCAAGCTGTTGGCCCCGCTTTGGCTTAGCTTCCCAGCCATCTTCCCAGCTCTGGTTCTTTCATAGGAACTAGTTATTGCTTCCACAGTGCCGTTACACGGAATGTTCCACAAAGGCTGTGAACCTGGTCACAGTCTGCTTGCGACAGCTCTGCTCTGAAAAACAGACCAGCTCAAGGCTCTTACCCAGAACAATCTTCAGCCCCCAAGGTCACTGAAACTTCATTAGTGCAGTTTAGAGTAGACGCGTAAGATTTGGCATATATTAAATGATTATTGGCACAATGTTCTCCAGTTCCATGTATAAATGTTGATACGCACATGGGCAGGGCCCAGGATGAATCAGCCAATCTGCACCATTTTTATGTCAGCAATAATCCCATCTCTTCCCTTGGAGCGCTGTAGGGAGAGCTGCTTCATCCGGTTCTCCAAAGCCTGGCCCTCAGGGGAGGCGCTGCTGTGGCTCTTACTGTTGCCACCACCGCCACTGCTATTGCTGAGGCCCCGGTTGTTGTTGGCTTTGTCACTTGTTTTATTTTCTGCCCCTTCTGCCCTGTCTCCTATAGAAATACAAAGATTATCAAAAGTGAGTATTGACAATTTTAAGTCACTTTGGGCTCAAACCAACCAGCTAACTCAGCCCTGTAGAATTCCCAGTGTTGCCTTCTGTGCCTAACAGGGAGGTTCTGAGTATATAATCACTTACTGCTTTCATTCCTTGTGCTATTTTATATATTCCTTGGCTTTAGAGATGAAATTTGCCATATTCACTTCATAGCTAAGAAACCTCTCTACTATGTGCTTGCCAAGGAGATTGTTCTGATGTGAGACACAGGACCTAAGCCCTACTTTATAGAAGCTGAGTGGAGCCAGGAGGCCCCCTGGAACAGCACTTGGAAATAACCTCAGTGATCAACACTGACAGCACAACCAGAGACCAGGTAATGTAGCACGGGGGTGCCCGAGGCCTGGCAGAGATACGACACAGCACAACAGTCAGGCTACGGAGGCAGTGTATCATCTGAGACAGGGTGAGAAGGCTGCTACTCACCTCGTTCTACTTCACATTCAGGGGAGGAGGCCCCACTGCATTCACTTCGGGGGCCCAACACTGGGAACATCATCCCAAACTCTGACAGGGACACAGGGCTGGGCAAATCCAGGCTGCCAGGCCTCACAACCGCAGGGAACTGGTCAGGCATCTCAGACGGGCTTGTTGGTCCTGAACTAAAGCTGGATACCGACTGGGTTTCCGAGTCATCTTCAGACACAAAGTTGCTACAGCTGTCATCTTCAAAGGCCTCCGAGGCCACTAAGTTAAGAAAGAACACCAGTCACATGGGATCTCTCACCTCAAATACCACAAGTGCTTGCTGCTGCCAGGCAGCTAGACACAGCACGGGAACTGCAGAATCTGTCACTGTGAGCACCTAATGAAGGAATGTGACTGCTCAAGCCCGAATGACCAGCCTCTAAAGCAGCTGGATCCCATAGCTATTAAGTGCCCTTCCAATAACCTTAGAACCCTGCCAAGAAATCAGTGTCACAAGACACTGCCTAAAAATGGAACATTAATTCAGCCACAAATTAGAACCTTTTCTCTACCTCAGTCCCCCAAACAGATTCTCATGTGCACAGGAAGAGGTTCTGGTCATCTGTAACATACTCCAGACAAAGCCAGTTGGACGTGGGCTTCTTTCTTATGTCAAGAGAAGCAAGAGCTACTAGAAGAAACAGGCCACTATGGAATATCTGTTGGGACCTTTGTTATATTCCAGGTTAACTTCTGATCGCATAAACGACACACACAGAATCACCATTTGCTGCAAAAGACCAGAAGTCCTTTACAGTGCTCTGTAGCTGCATGATTTGGTGACCAAAATAACAAGGCCCAGAGACATACTATTCCCATGATTTCAAAACCTCTTTGGCCTTCAGCAGTTTTCCTTCAGCTTGCCCACAATCCCACTCCTTAATAGAACTTTCCTCCTCCATTTTTTCCCCTCTTCTCTTTAAAAACAGCCTTGTAGCATTCCATAAAGGTTTCTTATAAATGATAAGTACTGTAATAATTGGAGACAGAAAATGGGCTAGCCATGAATTGAATCCTTAACTGCACGACTTGCTGTGTGACCTTGGTAACTCTAAGCTTCATAATCTTCTCCATGCAGGATTTGAGATGATGTACATTAAAGTAACTCATACATAGTTGTTACTCAAATGATAGTTTCCTTTTCCTTTACCTTGAACCTGGCACTTAAATATTTGCTGAAGGAATTAAAGAACTTCTGAGGAAGGAGCTTGGGAAAGAGCAAAAAGGGATTATTCCACAGGTAAGGAAAATAAAGGAAGTGTGCAAGGACAGTGCTGGGCGGGTTTTCTTGATGAGCAGAACAGAAACCATGTCCAGGGGTGGCCCTGGGAAAAAAGGTCTCTCTGGTCAGATGCCAGTAAGAGCCACCATTTGCTGAGTGCTGCTTGGGTGCCAGGTGTTGATTCTTGTAATCTGAACCACCACCCTACACAATGCAGAGTATAAAGTAGATACCATCATACTGCCCACTTTACAGGTGAAGAAACAAATATAAAAGGCCCTTGCCCACATCATACACTAGTAATGATGTAATGGCAGATTTGAATCAAATCTGATTCCAAATTCCCTATTCTTAGCTCTTCTTTCCTGCAGGACTTCTCAGCCTTGAATGTTGTAGTGAATACTTTGACTCTCAAAGAAGAGTGACGGTGTAACATTTTCCCATTTATTTGACCACAGAATCCTGACTTTGAGGAACACTTAGTACCATCTTGATGAACACAGTGTTCCATAAAGCATGGGAAGCCACCAGAAGTAGCCTTCAGGCCTGCCCAACTCTGAGACCCTTCAGTGATGGCCAGAGAAAGTGAGGACCCTCGGAAACGAATCACACAGTCTGGTATCTGCCCATTTACCCAGTGGGGCCCCTGACTTACCAGAAATGGCATCAGGCTCAGGTTTGCTCCCTGACAGATCCTCCACAGACGTGCTGCTGCCCTCAGCCCCAACACCGCAGCCCCGAGGCCCCATGGCACTGGAGCGCCGCCGCTCATGGATCTCATCTGAGATCATCTCTAGGTTCTTCAGGGCCATCTTGTACTCCCCTTTTGCCAGGGTCAGTTTGGCCTGCAGGTCATCCACAGTCTTCTTCAGTTGCTGGTCGGGAGAACAGGAGACGTAAGTCAAGACTACTCTGCTAGCCTTAAGATGCTTTCTGAGTGACAGGTTCAGTTACACTTTTTTTTTTTTTTTTTTTTTTTTTGAGACAGTTTCGCTCTTGTTACCCAGGCTGGAGTGCAATGGCGCCATCTCGGCTCACCGCAACCTGCGCCTCCTGGGTTCAGGCAATTCTCCTGCCTCAGCCTCCTGAGTAGCTGGGATTACAGGCACGTGCCACCATGCCTAGCTAATTTTTTGTATTTTTAGTAGAGACGGGGTTTCACCATGTTGATCAGGATGGTCTCGATCTCTTGACCTCGTGATCCACCCGCCTCGGCCTCCCAAAGTGCTGGGATTACAGGCTTGAGCCACCGCGCCCGGCATCAGTTACACTTTCTACCCATGATTCCACTTCAAGGAATTTTCCAAGAGTGACTAAGACCTGATTACCGTAATAACTGCTATTCATTCACCAGACAAAATCAGCCACCATCATCCCCAGATCGCATCCAGGTAATAAGCACTCATATCCAAACACTCTCACTGGTGGGATAAACCCCATGAGGGAAGCAAAAATGGGCATCAAACACACCAAAGTCCCAAAGTCTAGACATGTGGCTCCCAGTACAGTGGTTCTCAGACTTGAGCTTGCATCAAAGTCTCCTTGAGTGCTTGTTAAGACTCAGCTCACTGGACTCCAGCCTCAGAGTTTCTGATTCAGTTGATCTAGAGTGGGACCTGGGGATTTGCATCTCATCGAGTCTCCAGGTGATGCTGATGCTCCTGGTCCTAAAAGCATGCTGTGAGAACCACTGACCTAGTACAACAGAGTGACTGAAATGACAGAGGTTCAGAGACCACTGCATACCCAAGCCAGACAATGCTGAGGTCTGAAAACTCTACAGTAAAGAATGTGTCTCTCCACTTTCCCCTTATAGAAATGGCCCATTTGAAATTCTGCTACCCCAAAAAAGTGAGGCTTTGAGTGCAGAAAAATCCCATCAGCAACAAAGCCCAAAGCTACACATACCTCAAGCTGCACGTAGTACTTTGCCTTGAGTTCAAAATAAGGCCTGCAGAAGACAGGAAGGAAAACTATCAGGGTAATGTAATACAGTGACCGCAATAAACTCCACAAGATGAAAGGCATCAGCTATCGCCGGCCAGGTCATCCTTCCAATATTTAGCAAGGCCATGACATGAGGGTGATGCTCCTGGCACTGGAGCCTGCTTAACACAGCAGATAGAACGACTGGGCTCACCCAGGGCTGTACGGACAGGAGGCCCATCTCAAGAACCCACGCACATATCCTGGGGACCCTGCAACCTAGCTCCTGTTCCTCTTTGGGAAGGCTATTCGAGGCCACACAAGTTTACACCCAGCAGTAAGGGAAGCCTGGATTTGCTCTCCTAATGAAGTTGGCTCCCCAGGGATGAAGAGCAGAGGAGGTTGCAGAAGGGGATCCTTAAACCTCCTCCTCTACTAAAGTCAACCGGGGAAGAGAGAAGCACCACCACTCTGTCACAGCACAGCAAGGCTACCACTAGGAGGGGGTCTCAGGTTGGTCCTCCCGAACCTTGCCCAGGACTGGAGTTATTAGTTGACAGACTCAGCCACGTAATGGGCACAAGAAATTCCAGCCTTCTACCAGTACCCTTAGTTCTGGGTCAGCCAGAAGAACTTGGCTCTTTTTTTTTTTAGGAACTTTGGTGTCTGAACATAAAGAGTAGATCAATGCTTTATTCTTGAGCTGTTCACCCTCTATGAAGCTCCCAAGTCCTGCATCCTGAGGATCCAGATGGTTGACAAGGATATAGGACTGCCATTGATGGGTATGAAAATCCTGAAACTTGGGGAGAGAGTGCAGTGTATAAACTCTCTCATGTGACCAAAAGGAGCAGAGAGAGCACAAGGTGAGGAGTGTGTGTGTGAATGGGCATCGGAGGGCATAGGGAAGATGACCCAGCAAAAGGAACATGAGCATCCATGCAAAGGAGTGTGGCTGGAGAGGCAGGGTGGGCATGGAGGTAGCCTGGAAGCCGCTCTGTGGAATGCACAGATGTACATTTTCTCCTTTGAGCAGACAGGAGCCACCCAAGACTAGGATCTGTCCCTGTACTCTTCTAGAAGTCTGAAAAGGATGGTAAAGTACAATTTAATTTAAGTTAATGGATGAGTATGTGTGCAGTGGGAGTTCAGGTCTTTTGAGAAAAGACCCACCATATTCACACTAAAGGAAGCAGCATCAAAGCCTGTTCCTCTGGCCTCCTTGAGTGTTGCCGTGTGGATGATGCCTGGGCTCGCCCAGAGCAGGCACAGGTCCTACAGCAACCCGCGCCACCTCCTGCCTCCCCTGCAGAAAAAATGCCATACATGCATGTCTACTACTTGGCTCTCAACAGATCAGCCCCTGACATACCAAAAACCAAACCAAACCAAAACATACATACAATACTCAATTAAGTCCAATAGTAAATGGTTAAATGCTATTCCTCTGCACGTATGTGTCCATATGTATGTTGGAAGAGTGTGAGCAGAAACCAAAGAAAAGTCAAGCCTGGGAGAAGGTACCAGGGATAGTACAGAGCCAAGGAGGACCAAACTCTTCCTTGGATATCCTCTTCCTCACTGAATTGTCACCTTTCCCTCACTTGGAGGAGTGCAGGAGGACTGGGCATCTGCCAGGCTTCCACCTGCCCGGCCCCTCCCAGCTGGGGCTGTGACTGCACCTGGAGGCCAGGCCTTCAGTAGCCGTGCACAGCCTGCTCTGGGTCTATCTTTGGCTGTTAAGTCTAGGTCATCATAAGTCATCCTTCTTTTGCTAGGAGGCCCAGTAACTGCGAATCAAGCAGGAAGCTTGTCCCCAAGAGAGGGTACACAGTTGTGCTTGCCCACCATTATCAGTATTGTATAAAAATACACAGGGCTGCAGTGAGACGAGATTGGAAAAAAAATTACTAAAGCCAGTCTTAACAGCATGTTATCAGTTCTCAATCACAGGGAACATATATTGTGAACACAGCTCATCCCTATTACACTAACAGATAGACTGAGGGACAGGGCCGTGTCCACACTGTCAGTCACAGATCCTAGGGTACAGCATGAGTTTACCAAATTCCAACCAATGGGCCATTTAATAATGTCCTCTGAAATACCTTTTTCTGTGTCTCCTAACTTAGTCTTATCCAGAGCAGCCCACCCCTTAGCATCCTCTGCCTCTGGGAGTCAGTAGGGGCAAAAGAGCCTGGGCAGGGGCTCTGGTGAGGCCCCAAGGTCTACATCAAAGGACTGCGTAGGCTGCTCCTTGAGTGCGTGACATGCAAAAGGCCGAGAAGATGCAGACTAGAACAGCCATGGCCCCAGGGAAGACCGGGTTCAGACTTACTTGGACTTGTTGATGGCTCTCTTGAGTTTCTTCTCCAGCTGCCGCATACGGCCCATGGCGGCGTTGTACCTGGCCGCGGTCTCCTTATGCACCAGCTCGCTCCTGGTCTTGGTCTGCTCCGCCTCCATGACCTTCAAATGACAGCAGAGGTCAGCCCAGACCAACCCAGACCAGCCCCTGCTTGGAGTATTACTTATATCATTTTTCAAAAAATACACTTTGGACCGGGCACGGTGGCTCACACCTGTAATCCCAGCACTTTGGGAGGCTGAGGCAGGTCGATGGCCTGAGGTCAGAAGTTCAAGATCAGCCTGACCAACATGGCAAAACCCTGTCTCTACTGAAAATACAAAAATTAGCTGGGCGTGGTGGCGCACCCCTGTAGTCCCAGCTACTTGAGAGGCTGAAGCTGGAGAATCGCTTGAACCCAGGAGAGGGAGGTTGCACTGAGCCGTGATCACACCACTGCACTCCAGCCTGGGCGGGAGAGCAAGATTCTGTCTCAAAAAAAAACAAACCCTCCAGCTCTTGGAAGAGACCCTCACACACACAGCTTCCTGCCTTGAGAGAGAAGGTCACTGAGCATGTCGCCTCAGTTACCGCTCCTAGGTAATCAAGTAGTTCCGCCATCTGCAGCCCAGCATCGGGCATGAGCTATGTGCAGTGATGTGGGGCAGGTGTGGTGTGTGGGTGGAGGAGGGCGGCTCAGGGGTAGGAGTGGCAAACTGCGTCCCACACCCTGGAACAGGCAGATGCTGAAGGGTCCAGGGACCACAGGGATGCTGCTCAGCCCTAGTCCTTGTTCATGTCAGCCCATAGAAGAGAACAAACAGCCGGCACCTTCCTGCATGGGCGCCACTGGGCACTGAATGGGTGTTTCAGTCTGGCTGGGCATAGCCTCTTTGCAGGGTCCCACACCAGCAGAATGGCCCAACCTGCCCAGTAGACATCCACCAGACACAGCTCCTCAGCCTCCTGTTCTTTCTCGACTCATCAATGTCCAAGGCCTTTGCACCCTCAGTTACACTCCCAACATCTCTTCCAACATCACAGAGCTGCAGTCAGGGGCCTCTTCTGCCCAGGGAGGCAATCTCACTGTCTGCTCAGAACCTCCATTAGCTCCTTCAGACTGTTTTCTGATTCTTACTGCGTCCTTGGGCAATGGAACCTAAGAAAGCACTTTTTCCCACTGTGTGGAAGGGGAGCAGTTCACACCCACCAGCGTCAGGGAGGCTGTCCTGAGCAGCTCTTATCCACTGTGCACCAGGGGAAGGGCTGACCCTGCGTCTTGTCCTCTCCAGCAGCTGCCTGCTGCTAGTTCAGAAACAGTTAATGCCTCTCATTTCTAAGTCACATTTCCCTCTTCCTCTGTCTGATCTCTTTCAGCAGACATCAGAAAAGCCCATTTCTCCCTCCCAGGATGCCAGCCCTTCTCTCAGAGGATGAAAAGCTATCACCTGCCCATAAAGGCAGCTTCAAGGCCAAAACAGCTGAGGCTCAAGAGGCCTATGCTGCCCAAGCTCCCCAGCTGGGGAGCAGCAGAGACCCCAAGCCCTGTGCCCCAAGGAAGGCTGCTCAACTGCAGGCTTGGCAGCTCTGCCATGAGCTGCTTGTGTTTTCCAGAGTCCTCATCTCAACCCCAGCAATGAGGAGAAAACTGATCCTTTGTTCCTGCCTGTGGCCCTGCCTGTGTCCTAATAGAGCACACCAGGGCTAGTACATTGGTTTCAGCCGTGGCTCCAAGTGTGGCTGCCTGATGTCACCACAGGAAATGTGAGGGGTCGCACAGATGGTCTTGGGCAAATAACGTGGGAACCCCAGTGTTCTGCTGTGCCTTGAGGGATTGTGTGTTCCAAACCACTGCCATGTCTTCAAGACAGCCTGGGCCTTTATGAGCATGGAATTTTCTTTCAGTAGACCCTTAAGTAAAATACTCTGGGAAGAAGAGTGTGAAATGAGGCTCCCTTGTTTTAAAGAAACGAGCTTCCTAGAGTGCCCAGAGGCAGACAAGGGCAGACATCTTCCAGCCCTTCTATCCTGCAGCTTTCAGCGGGCTGAGCATCCCAGGCCCGCCAGGCTCTAGGAGGGGTCGACATGAACACCTCTAGGGGAAATGCTAAGCCCAGAGTCCCCAGTTACTTCATGCTGTTTCAAAGCCAACCATGCAAGTCTGTGTCCCAGAGAAAGAATGACATTCTGCATCATCCGTATCATCCATCACATTCGGAGGGCATGTTCTGTACCCTGACCTTATAAGTGGCATGGGGACGTGATGGGGAAAAGCTTTGCCACAGGCTTTGTCTCTTGCTGGTGTCCATTTTTTAACTCATCCGTTCAATGAAGGGCATTTCCAGCCTATGCAACTGTGAAGGAATCTGGAACGAGGAACATCAGCTCCAAGGTGGAAATCCTGGCATGTGACCTGGAACACCTGCCAGTCTGCAGAGGTTGTCCCCATCCCCAAGAAAACCAAATGGGCCCTTCCCTTCAGTGGCCACAGAGAGGGCACATATCAGCTGTCCCTCCCAGTGCCCTATGAAGCCCTCATGACCTCAGGAGTACAGGGCCATCTTGTAGAGCCCCACAGGTCTTACACTGCACAACTTCAAAAAGCACTGTTCCTAAAAACTGGTATCAATGGTGCCCTGAGTTGGGAGGCCACCCACCATCCATCCACTGGGGCCCTAGGACTTAAAAACAACAGATAAACAAAGCAGAAACTTGGTTTATCTTTAAAGAACAGATTAAATGACTTCTGAAATGCTTGCTTATAGGCTGACATGGGTCTCCGGGGTAGAAGGGCAAAAAGGAAAAGCAGTCCTTCAGCTAATTTCTTGCAAGAAGCTACCCTGCATTTTGTCCTTTTCATATCTATCAGACATTGGCTTATAAATTTCCAAGATTTCCAGCAACCTCTTCCGTTTTTCATGAGATGACCCAAAAAAGCTGTTTCCAGCCCAAGTCTAGCTCTGTGAGCATCACACCCACCAGGGGGCAGGAGGCGCAAGGCCTCGCAAAGCAAAACTCCGCTAGAGTCTCAGGCTGCAGGGAGAGGTGCGATAAAGTCAACGTGGATTTGACTCTCGAAGTCATTTGTGTGTCAAGTGTTCTATTTAAGGAAGCACAAGGCCATCTCTTTAATTATCAGATCCCCCAGGACTTGAGCCACTGTGGCAGGTGACATTGAAAAGGGAAATGCAGTTGGCATTAACCTGCTGACTTTTCTATTCTAGACCCCCAGACAGCTTTCTCAAGGAGTCACAAAGACCTCTTGCAACCCCCTACCCACCCTGTTCAGGGTCTTAGTTGGAGCTGCGGAATCCATAGGTCAGCTCACCCTCCCACCCTGCAGCAAACCAGCCCCTACACTGGTTTTCCAGGCACTTGTGATTTAGACAGAGAATGCAGAGGGGCACAATGGACCCAGGCTGATGCGGGGTGCGGGGCATACCAGGAACATGAGCCTGGGCAGCCCAGGAGCCAAGCCTGGAAGGGGGAAGAGGTATCCAGGAACATTCTCCCTGACTTCTAAGAAACCCGGTAGTTAGGCAGGGGTAACCAAGTAATGCTGCACCAAGAACTGTCCCTAGCTGCTATGGTCTGAACATTTATGTCCTCTCAAAATTCTCGTATGGAAATCAGTCCCCATTGTGGGGGTATTTGGAGGTAGGGTCTTTGGGAAGTGCTGAGGTCATGAAGGTTCCATGAAAATTCATTAATCTCATCAGAAATGAGGTTAATGACCTTACAAGCTCATGTGCCCCCCCTTCCACCGTGTTAGGACATGGAAAAGACAGTCATCTGTAAACCGGCTCACTACCTCCTGAGGCCCTCACGAGACACCGAATCTACCAGTGCCTTGATCTTGCACTTCTCATCCTCCAGAACTGTGAAAAATACATTTCTATTGTTTACAAACTAACCCATTTATGGTATTATGTTTAGTATTTTGTCTTTGCCTGAACAGACTAAGGCACTACCATTTCTGGTTCTGAGTAACGCAGCCAGAGAGGTGGTCACAGGAGCCGGTAAAGAATCCAACATAATGGCATAAAACCCAGCAAGCCAAGCCATGGGTAAGGATCACACCCAGTCTACTTCCTTCATGCATGTCAGCTCCCGGAATCCCAGCCCAGAAGGCCTGTCCTAAGTACACGCCTGATTCTGGTCTAATCCTGCCACGACCTCTGCTTTCTCCAACAGCACATACCCAAACCGCAGACCCCGTGTAGGGCTGTGAATCAAGGTCTCCTCATCACAGATTCTAAACCCAGCCAGTATGCTGGGAGCAGACCCTGGAATACAACCTGGTCCCTCTGGAAGCCTGAGTCCACAGTTAAGGCCCTTCGGGGATGACCAGACAAACCTTCAGCAACATAAGGGGAAGGAGCAGCTCTCGCTGTCACAGAGAGACACTATGACTCATCTCAGAGCACTGGCTTCATACCAAGCACAGCCAAGAGACCACATGGAGATGACAACCTGTGACTTTGAGAGTGTTTTCGGGCAACATGCCTGGGAGTCGAGTCTGTTACCTCCACTTGGGGGAAGCCAGCACACATGCACGTGCACACCCCCACAGCACACCCGGCCATGACTCATACCCTCTGAGTGGCGTGATTCAGCATCTCCTGCCAGGCGGAGTCAAACTGCCGCTTGTCATCCTCCAGCAGCCGCTGCTCGGCCAGAGAGATGGTCTCCTTGGCGGCGCGGAGCACCTCCGTGGCCCTCTGGAAGTCCTGAGTGGCTTTCTGAGCTTCCAGCTGAGCCTGTGTGAGAAAGAATCCTCGTGAGACCTCAGGAAATGGCAGGGGCTCCCCATGGTCCATTTTACCTTTCAAAAAATAAGCATCCCAAGGCCCAGGACAAGTTCATCTCTGCCTCTTCACACTCGGCACCCACAGGTCCTTGTAGATGCCGACAGGGCAACAGGGCCCCTGATGGGGGAGTGAGCGCCAAATCTGTGAGCGGCCATTTCCACAGTTCTAGGCCCGATGGATGAGATACACACATCAGCCCCTGGCCCGAATCTGACATGGCAAACCAGCGCATTGTGGGACAGGTACAGCCAACCCCACGGCCTTTCTCAGAAGCTTTGCCTCACCAACAAGGCCAAGGTGGATACAGTAGCCCTGACACCTTCCCTGCCCAGATCTGTGGCTCAGTTTATGGCAAGTCAGAACCAGGCAGGCCCCTGGAGATCACGGTCAAAGACTTCACTCTACAGATGGGGGACCGTGGCTGAGAGGACACAGCCTTTCCGTGAGATGACACAGCTGACTAGAAGCAGAGCTGTGCCAGACTCCAGGCAGCATGAGTTCCAGCCCAGCACTGCCACTCTGCCAGACAGTCCCCTACTCAACTCACACCCACCGACATCAGCGACAGGCCAAGTATGGCACCAGGCAGGCAAAGAGAAGGACCTAATTAATTAAAACAACAGAGTCCTTGCTTTCAAGGAGCATCAGGTGGGAGAACCAATACCAACTGTAGCTGACCACATGTCTAGACCCCCACAACATGTGTCTACTGATTGTTCAAAATATGATTAACCCCAGCCGGGTGCAGGGGCTCGCACCTGTAATCCCAGCATTGGGGGAGGCAGGCGGATCACTTGAGGTCAGGAACTAAAGACCAGCCTGGCCGACATGGTAAAACCCCGTCTCTATTGAAAAACAGAAAAATTAACCGGGCATGGTGGCAAGTGCCTGTAATCCCAGCTACTTGGGAGGCTGAGGCAGAACAATCACTTGAACTCGGGAGGTGGAGGTTGCAGTGAGCGAGATCATGCCACCGTACTCCAGCCTGAGTGATAAAGTGAGACTCCATCTCAAAAAAAAAACAAAACAAAAAAAAGGTTAATCCCAATTGAATGTAAGGCATCCCTAATCTTGAAGACTTAGTACAAAAAAAAAGAATGGTAAGTTTATCATTTATGACATGATGAAATATCTTGGATAGAGATCTCCCATCACAGATTAAATAAATTATTCAAATTAATTTCAGTTGGGTGCAGTGGATCCCACCTGTATCCCAGCACTTTGGGAGGCCACAGCAGGAGGACCACTTGAGGCCAGCTATTCAAGACCAGCTTGGGGAAACATAGCAACAAGACCCCACCTCTGGAAAAAATTAAAAAATTATCCGAGCATGGTGGCACATGTCTAGAATCCCAGCTACTTGGGAGGCTGAGGCAGGAGGATCACCTGAGGATATGGTGAACTATGACTATGCGGCTGCACTGCAGCCTGGGTAACACAGTGAGGCCCTGCTTCTTAAAATAAACAAAATTTAAAAATCGATTTCACAAGCCACAGATGGTAGCTCACACTTGTAATCCCAGCACTTTTGAAGACCAAGGCGGGCATCGAGGTCAGGAGTTAGAGACAATCCTGGCCAACATGACGAAACCCCGTCTCTACTGAAAATACAAAAATTAGCTAGGTGTGGGGGTGAATGCCTGCAGTCCCAGCTACTCAGGAGGCTGAGCAGAAGAATCGCTGGAACCTGAGAGGCAGAGGATGCAGTGAGCCAAAACAGCACCACTGCACTCCAGCCTGGGTGACAAGAGCAAAACTCTGTCAAAGAAAAAATAATTCACCATTTCATCTTTCCTTTTTCACTGTGACCACTGGGAAATTTACAATTATATAGGTGATTCACATTGTATTTCCTGTGGACAGTAGATACCTTTACCCCAAGATGGGCCATGTGATGGCACTTGCGTGACTGCATGAGAAATCACCACCAAAACATCACAGTCACCTCTCCACAGGCTCACCTTGAATTCCCCAGCAGAACACACGCCCACCTCTGCCAAAAGCTGGCCTCTGCACCACCCCACCACCCTCCCTGGGTTAACCACGTCTCCAAGTCAGTTACATAAGCCCTGGTGGGGTGCCCCTGGGGCAGCCCCTGGGACCAAGAGGGGAACTACAGGGACCCCACCCTTCCCCAAAACAATTCTCCTGTGACTTAAAGGAAGTCTTCAGAAATCACAGGCTGAGGATGCTTGGTGAAGAAGGTTAAAGGAGGCAAAAGAAAAATCAGAGACTCGGAGCATACCAGCCCCCAAGGCAAAGAGCCGCTTTCCCATGAATGTGTACTGCAAACCAGACCCAGACCCAGCCCTCCAGGTGATGACAGTCAGGTGGGGAGCCGAAGCAAGCATGGAGTGGACACTCAGAAGTCCACAGTACAACGCTGTATATGAGCGTGCCACAGCAGGGAGGGAAGTGTGGTACTGGGAATGTGAAGGAGAAATTACTCCAGGACAGAGAACCGAGGAAGTCCTCTTAAAGGAGGATGATCCTGAACTGAGGACTGAAGGACACAGATGATTTGAAAACATGGGCTGACGGGAGGTGGGGGCAGAAGGAAGGATCTCAGATTCTAAATACATACTACAAAACAGAGTGCCTGTAGGAGATTTGATGATACCTGAGATCAAATTTTTAAGAAGGACTAGAGTGAAGACCTTGAATGAATGCCAGGTTAAACCTTCGACAAAGTGGCCCAGGGACCTGTCCCTGCTGTGGACTCACTATGTGGCCAGTGGCCCACTTCCACTCAGGTGTGCCCCAGCTACACAACGAGAACAAGGATGCCCACCCTCTCTAGAGCTGGCCAACTCACCCCCAACCCCTGCCCCACCTCGTGCCTCCAGGCCCATTAGTGGTTCTTAGTTCTCTCATGTGAGGTCAGCCCTCCAGGGCCTCCCTCCACTGGCCAAGCTGCAGGGAAAGAGAAGTGGAGGGGACCGATTACCTTAAAAGCCACCCCAGCCCCCACCCGCTTCACACCAACTCCCGGAGACGCACTGAACCCTACAGGACCCTGAAATGGGATTTGTATTTGCTTTTTCAGGAACTTTTCGGTATTTCAATTCAGCAATACTTAAGGGTGAACTCTTTTCCCAGTTCTCTCTGCTTCAATTATGAACTTCCTATTTCTTCAATCAAAAAAGACGCTCTCATGAGGGCCTTCTGAAAGGTGGCTGCTGTACCACGGGCCCAGCATCCTCTGCACACCCACTGCTATGCATCTGATGAGTTCCAAATAAGAGAACCAGATCTCTACAAAGGAAAAGAGGACGCCCACTCGAAGCTGCCTTGAACACGCGCTGTCAAATTCCAGACAAGAGTCTGAAGTTTCTGCAAGATTTCTTCTCCTGTATGGTGACATCAGACACATGTTTGCCTGGACTTATCACAGGTGCAACTAATGTGAGGCCTCACTCCACATTTAACCGCGCAGAAACCAGATGGCATCTCTCCATAACATATCCACTTATCAGTTCATTCACCCAAGTAAGCACTGGGCACCTGTCATGTCCCCACTATTCTCTCCGTTCGTTGTGGTCTCAAGGCGAAACAATATATCAGCTAAAGACCCCCACTTCCAAGCCCTCACTAAAACTAGTCACCCTGGTTAAGTGACAGCTAATGAGAGGTAAATGAACACTGAGTGAGACTTCCAGGAAGGCTCCTGTTATGGACTGAATGTTCGTGTCCACCCAAATTTATATATTGAAGCCCTAACCCCTAATGTGATATTAGGAGGTGGGGCCTTTGGGAGGTGTATTAGCCCATTCTTGCTCTCCTATAAACAAATACCTGTGGGCCAGGCATGGTGGTTCATGCCTATAATCCCAGCACTTTGGGAGCTCGAGGTGAGCAGATCACTTGAGGCCAGGAGTTCAAGACAAGCCTGGCCAACATGGCAAAACCCCATCTCTACTAAAACTATGAAAAAAAAAATTAGCCAGGTGTGGTGGCAGGCACCTGCAGTCCCAGCTACTCAGGAGGTTGAGGCAAGAGAATCACTTGAACCCAGGAGGCAGAGGTTGCAGTGAGCTGAGATGGCACCACTGCACTCCAGTCTGGGCAACAGAGTGAGATTCCATCTCAATTAAAAAAAAGAAAAAGAAATACCTGACACTGGGTAATTTATAAAGAAAAGTGGTTTAATTGGCTCACAGTTCCGTAGGCTGTACAGGAAGCATGATTCTGGCATCGCTCAGCTTCTGGGAAGGCCTCAGGACACTTACAGTCATGGCAGAGGCAGAGCGGAAACGAGGCATCTCACACGGTGCCTGGACTTGGGTCCAGGATTGGGGAAAAGTGCTACACACTTCTTTTTTCTTTGAGACTCAGTCTCGCTCTATTGCCCAGGCTGGAATGCAGTGGTGTAATCTCGGCTCTGTACAACCTCTGCCTCCCAGGTTCAACTAATTCTTCTGCCTCAGCCTCCTGAGTAGCTGGGACTACAGGTGCACACCACCAGGCCCAGCTAATTTTTGAAATTTTAGTAGAGACAAGGTTTCACCATGTTGGCCAAGCTGGTCTCAAGCTCCTGACCTGAGATAATCCACCCACCTCCGCCTCCCAAAGGGCTGGGATTACAAGATTACAGGTGTGAGCCACTGTGCCCAGGTGCTAAACACTTTTAAACCAGATCGCATGAGAACTCACTATCACAAGGATAGAACCAAGGGGAATGGTGCTAAACCATTCATGAGAAACAGCCTCCATGATTAAATCACCTCCCACCCAGCCCCACCTCCAACTTCGGGGATTATAATTGGACATAAAATTTGGGAGGGGCACAGACCCAAACCGTATCAGGAGGTAATTAGGGTTAGATGAAGTCCTGAGGGTGGGGCCCTCATGAGGGGATTAGTTTCCTTGTAAGAAGGGGAAGAGAGAGGGATCTCTCCCTCTGCTGCACTGAGGAAACACCATTCTGTCAAAGGCCTCTTAGGAAAGAT